CATTGCAATATATGCGTATACTATTATTTTCACAATGTACTTTTGGTTCTTAAAAGTTTTGGAGCTTAATTATAGGACTATTCTGCAACTTATTTACTCAAATACTTTTAGAAAATTTTAAAGTGTTTCTAAATGATTATTTCTAAACTAACATCCACATATATAAAAAAGTACAAACATTTAGATACATACATACTTACAAGTTGTACAACAAACTCAAACCAGCCAATTAAAAAAGCTCAGAAACCCGAATCATTTTAGAAAATGGATTATCGGGTTTAGGTTTTCTTGACATTTTCATAATTATAAACTTTTTTTTGGTTTTTCTCACTGTAAGAATATATGTTTGTATAGGTTAACAATTATCTTTTTTTTCACATCTATTCAATTTTTTGTACGCGATTACCAATGAGTTGCTGAATTTTGTTCAAATTACTCCCTTACGAGCAATTGTTGGCATATACATGGTATCTACGTGAGATAACATATTGGGAAAATGACTTATGAGGGTAACCAATTATAATTATTGTTCACATTTGATCTTTTGTTTGTACACCATTAACTATTAAACTCTCATTTTGTGTTCAAATTACACCACATGAAATTGTTTGGATTATCACTAATACCTGTTAAAATGAAGTTTAGTTCTTAAAAGTAGGTATGTCAATCAATAACATGACACATAAAAAACAAACAGCATGAAATAAAATTGGGACAAAACTAAAATTCGAATTCGTATTCATGTCGTGTTCCAGTCAAGTGTAAAAACACAAGGTCGTGTCGTGTTCGTGTTCAAACTTAGACACAAAATCGACACAACATTAACATGTGTTTACTGTGTTTTTTAAGATTATTATTAATTAAAAAATTAAAGGTTTATTTTATTTTATCTTTTTCGTGTTTTTCGTTTTTACAATCTGGTCGTTTTTATGTTAGTAAAATAAAACACGACATCGGGTCATATCGTCTTATATAAAAAATTGTCATGTTTGTCAGCTAAAACCATAAGACGATTGTTCGATTATAAAAAAAAAAGTTGATCGTTATCATGTTTGGGGTTTAAATACTTGGGTGTTGTTTGTTTTTAAGGGATATAAGGTCTGCAGTATGCGGATCACATATGCAAAGAAGAGATGAATCAAACGTCTGCAATCTGCAAGAAAAATAATGTTTGTTTTTTAATGTTTATAAGCTGATAAAATAAATTGAAAATAAACTGATTTTTTAAATTTAAAAGAGTTTTTCAACACTGAGATTTAAATAATTATAGTTTATCAACTAAAATATAATTTATACAATCACAATAACATTTTTTTTTAAATTATTCATTCCATATAATTTGAAATGACGCATTCGGTTGCTTGTATTAAGAAAAGAAATTATGGCTCAAACCCTCTTTCCTTATAAAATTATGAAGTGCGGAATGGACAATTGTAATCCTCTTCAATATATGGATATGATTGAATTTTTTTTAAACAACATTTTATAATTACAAAAAACACAAAATTAAATTGTTTCTATTATAATCTTCACAATTTATGTCTATTATAATTTTCACATAATTTTTTACACATATAAAATCTCTTATATTAAACACAAGAAATAAACAAAAAATATAATTTAATATAAAAATCTTATTGGAAAAGAAAATTAAAAAGTAGTTCAATGATTTTTTTTTTTAAATCATGACTTTAGTTTCCCCAAAATTAATATAAAAAATGTGAAGGATCCTTAGTTATATATAAAAAAATTTAATCATTATTATTGTCTAGAAGATGTCTCTGAAAACTTCTCATCAGCAGATTTTTGTATATGCTTTTTTTTAGAAAAAGGGTGCGCAAACGTTTTGATCTCTGCAATATACTAAAAAACAGTCAGTGAAAACATACAGACATAAATGTCTTCTCGCCTGCATACTTCTACTAAAAAACAAAAAACATCACCACATTAGTGTCTAGTGAAGGTTTGGCTATAATGGTTGTAATCTACAATTTGGGGAGATGAAAGGGATTATTGTTGGCCGATACAATTTGAACACAAAATGAAAATTTAATGGTCAATCATGAATAAAAAAAATCAAATTTAAATAAGTTACCCTTTTAGTCCTTATAATTTCACATATCACATGTATATGTCAAATGGACGTAAGATGCAATTTACACAAAATTCAAAAATTCAATGGTAACGATATATAAAAAAAGAAAGAAAAACAAAAAATTGACAAAATATGAATAAAAATGATAATTAATTGCATTTTTAAGTTATTTTTTTATTTTTATATGTATATACGTGTTGCACATGATTTTATATGTTTGCGACTCTTTTTTTTGGTTTTTTTTGTTCGATTTCTCTCTTTTATTTCTAAAAAATATACACACTTTTACTGTTTCACATACATACAAAATTTGGGAAAACTGACAATATTTTTTAGACAAAATGCAAATACCAAAAAACTAAAAGGGTTAAAAACAAAATAATAATAATAATAATAATATAATAATATAATATAATATAAAAACTATCGAATCATAATGACTTTTTCGTGAGGAAAAATATCAAAACCTGGTCTTCAGTGAAAACTTGGGTTTCTAAAAACATCGGTGACTTGCTAATTGGTTAGAGTAGGTGATCAATTATTTAATAAAATTAAAATGATAATGATATCAATAAAAAGAAAAAAATACTGGCTTTTTAGTAAATAGTTAAAGCAAATGACTTTTATGTAAATTGTCTCTTTATCTATTAGTTCGTTATAATTCGTTTCTACTCTAATAAATTAAATTTTTTTTGTCACATGTCACATTCTCATTGATTTGACACATGTTATTTTGTGGTTATTTTCAATTAAAATTTTTCACATGACATTTTGTAGTTTTTTTTTCATTTTATCAAATTCCACATAATACTTAAATGTAATAATTATAATAAATATAATAATAAATGCATATCAATTTTATTAATTGACTTTCTTTTTAATTTTAAGATTTACAAATTAAAACCTCATTAGTTTCCTTTATTTATTTATCTAAGTTATTTGTTTAAATTTAAAAAAGATAAAAACACATTAATTTTAATAATTCAATATTTTTTTTAATTTTCTTATAAATTCAAAATTTTAAATGTTTAAAATTTCATATTTATTTTTTCTTTTAAATAAACTCATATAATACATGGGTTTTACAACTACTAGTTAAATAAATAAACAAGTGATTGTCTGGTTATTGCAACTTCTTGCCGATTCAAAAACCCGAGTTCGAGCTTCTTGACATGACACATGAAATACCTAAAGAATGTAGATTTCATAAAAGATCATGTTTTATGTTAATTTGATTTATTAATTAAACGCATACTATTATGTGTTCACCAAAATATTGAAAAGGTAAGAAACATGCCACCGGAGTTAGAAAATATTGAAGCGGGTCGCCCAACTATTAACGTGGTTTTATTTAAAACAAATTCATTGAAAAAGACGAGATATTTTATTTAAATATATTTCTTTGATAATAAAATAGAATGTAAGGTTTGTTTGATACTTTTTTTATTGGATTCGCCCAACTATTAACGTGGTTTTATTTAAAACAAATTCATTGAGAAAGACGAGATATTTTATTTAAATATATTTCTTTGATAATAAAATAGAATGTAAGGTTTGTTTGATACTTTTTTATTGTATCTAATAAGAGGTTGTGTCTGATTGGATTATATTTAAATTGTTTGATATAATATTTAGAAATCTTTGACTCGGTCTTGGCTTGTCTGAGATATTTCTTTATATTCAAGGATAACTCTTACACACTATTGTAAAATACTAAAAAAATACTTGAAATAAGGCCAAAAGAAATATGTCAAAAAAGATTTCTAAAAACGTCTAAATGCAATTAATTTTGACTCGCATATTAATGGGTATTGCAAACAAGTTGGATTGCGTTACTAATTATTATTTTTCATATTTTAGATAAGTGACAACCAATAAAGGTGACAAATAATAACACGACACGATAAAAATACACGATATGAAACGAAATTATGAAAAAATTGAAATTTGACTTTGTGTCTTGTTTGTGTTAAATGCAAAAAACATGATGTCATGTTGTGTCGTGCTTGTGTTCTGAATTCGACACGAAGTTGACATTATTTAACATTTGTTTGTTGTGTTTTTTCGTATTTGCCGTGTTTGTTGTGTTATATATAATTATGTATTAATTACATAATTAAATCTTATTTTATATTGTCTTTGTCGTGTCATGTTTATCTTTTTAATCGGTTCATATTAATTAAATAAAACACGACATCGTGTTGTATTATGTCTGTGTTACATAAAATATCGTCATATTGTGTCATGCCAAACATAAATACAACATAATTTGTCCGATTTGCTCCCCTAATAAATAAAATATGAAAAGTAAATATTAGCTGTTTGCATTGCACTCCAACTTATTTTAATTCACACATAAATATTTATTAGATTTAAAATTTTAAACAATTTAAAGAAAAAATAATGTTTAATCATAATATATTTCAATACGCATTCTTTTAGAAACGGCAAACGAATTGAACGAAAGCCTACTCGTAATATTCCGAGGTACTAGTGAGTACCTCGGGTTCAAGCTCGTTTACATGGTTATTATTATAAAATATAAAATTTGACTAACTAAAATTGTAATCAAATTTATATGTAACCATAGAGTCTAGTCTAATAGTGATAGGTGTTGTTTTTTTTCTTTAGACGGAATTCAGTCTCATCTAGTTTAGGTGTTGATTAGTTTGATGTTCCAAAGAAATATTGTTTAAAAACCTAACTGGTTACTTTTCCTTTGATTTATCATAAAATTGAAAACTTTATGCTTTATAAAAAGAAATGATTAATTTGGAATCTTCCAAGTAATGACGATTTTTCGTGGACTACTTCCCTATAAATATTTATTTCCACTCCTCTTTCTACTCCATTCCAGTTTACTCCATAAATCTCCTTTTTCAATCGAAGCTTGATTCCTTTGATCATGGCGACGCCAAATGAAGTTGCAGCTCTCGAGTTCATCAGGCAACACCTTCTTGACGAATTTGAATCCTCTCCTATCGATCAAATCTTCACCGATTTCACTTACACACCTAGCTTTAACTCCGATGACCATTGCTCCATTTCCAGCTCTCACTGTGATTCTTCGTCTTCAACCACTTCTCCTCTCTCTGATTTCTCCAATCATTCCACTGATTACGATTTAACTCGTACTATCAATTTTTCTGAAACTGAATCCACAGAACATGAAACCACCAATCCGGTATCCACAAAACCAGTCGAACGAATTGCCGGAGAGAGAGAAGAGAGGAGATACAGAGGCGTGAGGCAGAGGCCGTGGGGGAAGTTTGCGGCGGAGATCCGAGATCCAAAACGTCGCGGATCTAGGGTTTGGTTAGGCACATTCGATAGTGCGATTGAAGCAGCGGAGGCGTACGATAAAGCGGCATTTGCGATGCGAGGTAGCAAGGCGATTCTTAATTTTCCACTTGAGGTTGCGTCGTTGAAGAAGATGGATGAATATGGTGGAGGCCATAAAAGGAACAGAGAACATGACGTGGTGGTGGAGAGGAATACGATAATGGCGGAGACTGCCGTGGATGATCCAGCGACGCCGTCGTCTAATTGGATAACTTTCTTCAATAGCTGAGGTGTCCGGCGAACCTCCGTCGCCGAATGCCTGCCGATGAGAGATTCACAGCTTGTCATACGAGTTAAAAGGCGTTGCAGAAATCATTGAGAGCATGCAAATATACAAATTACAAAGCTTTCAACAGTGATCAATCGAAGTTCGTTTCAAGGTTTACAAGATATTTGAACAATTAAACAACTTTCTTGTTTCGATCTTGTTATAACAGCTGAAATTCATCTAAAATAACTCGAAAGATATTGTATCCTATTTGAAAAGAGGTGAATATTTTTAATATACATCAGCTGATTATGAGAAATTTGATTTCTTCCTACCCATTAATATGCAATTGGTAAATTACGAGTTTAATACTACTAAAAGTCTAAAATTCAATGGTATGATATATTGGATGATTATATTTCATCAAATAATTAAATGAAATGTGATTTAATAAAACTTTGGTTTTTATTTATTTACTATAACAAGGGGTTAGATATATATAAAATTATAAATATCGATTATATTGTATATATATAAAAAAAAAAGAAATAAAAAGGTGATCTTATTATCTTATATAAACCTAGATCCCTTTCACATGTGGTGACTGGTGTGTCTTACACATGGTCTCATCCACAGAGGATTTACCACTATTCTAACAAATTCTATATGATATTATTGTAATAATTTTGTTAAGAAGATAGGACTAATTCATAACACACATGATGAATTTTAAAAACTGTGGATTGCAAAAACAAAAGTTTATTTAATGTACTATCGTTATTGCTAATGATATATAAATTAATACATGTTTAATCAACCCTTAACAATGTGTATAAATGTCATTTTGTTCATTTTGTATATTATATTCCAAAAATTATATAGTTTAGTTAAGCATAGAGCCAACTCATTATTATATACAATTAGTTTTACATTTAGAAAACAAAAGGTGATTTTTTTATGTGATATTTGTGTCGATGTAAATGTTTTGATATAAACTTTTTCAATAATGAATACTATTTAAAAAAAAAACAGATAGATTTTATATGAATATTTAATAAATCATTTTAACTAAAAAAAATTATAATAACAGTTCGGAGCTACCGCATAACATACGAAAAATCCATAATAATTTTGAAAATATAATATAAATTTTAAGAAATTCCACTAAAACCTAAATAATTTGAAGCGGGTAATTAGTACATTAATAATTTTGTAAATATAATTTGTGTTTAAAAACGACTAATTAAACGAGAAATTTTTATACTTTCCATGTCCCAAATTATTGTTCACAGACAAAAAATACACAGATTAAGAAAACATTAATTACCTATAATTTTATTAAACAAAATGACAATTGTATCATTTTGTTGTATTTAATTTTATCATTTTGTTGCATTTAATTTCATAATAGGTTAACTAATAATGAAGAGTATTTTGGTAAAAAGTGATATTTATTTTTAAAAATAGATTATTATTTTGGCACAAACCAAAAAGAAAACATAGTTTATTAATAATATGTGACGGTAGGAATAAAACATTTTAGATAAATAATGAAAATTCTTTATTACAAAATAAACTTTTAAAAAGATTAATTATTATAACTGTCATTTAATTGGAGGTCAAAATTTAATGAAATAATGTTAAATTAATGTTGAATCATATCATAAAATAAATATACTATGCATTTGTTTTATAATAGTATTAAATTATTCTTCTATATTTTTTTTCGTATCATTTAATATTTCTCAATTAGCTAATTTTTATCAAAATCATTTTCATGGATTAGCTTATTATCTTTTAGACCAAAAATATTTTTTTATTAGATAGTCAATTAAACATAACTTAAAAAGAAAGGTGTATATCTTTTCTTCACGGTAGACTTATGAACTTGTCTTGCTTTTCTATCTCTTAGTAATCGTCCTTTTGACATTAGTTTAATGACTTTTAGTTTGTCGTTGTCAATAAATCTTTTTAATAAATAATCCATCATTAAATATTTTTATTAAGTTATATATAGGACAAATATTATGTTATAGGACATAAAACATACATTATATTTTAGACTAAGCTACCACCACATAACATTTGGACGACTACATGTACATGAAATCGACGTATGGACGTTGTTCGTGTCTTGTTGACTTTCCTTTCGTTTCTCATATTATCTTAAAAAGGATATAATGATAATTGATAAGTTGATAGCCTTTTAAATTGAAGAAGAAAAAAACTCGAAAGCATATACTCATTGATATTATGTACACGAACATTCACAACAGTATTTATTTATTTATTTTGCAGAAAACAACTTCGAGCTAGAAAATATTATATATTTCATAAAACTAGGTGTGAGACTTATGTATTACATGAGTTTATTTAAAAAAAAACTAAATAAAAATTCTAAAATTTTGAAAATTTTGAATTTTTTAAAAAAGTGAGAAAATATTGAATTATAAAAATTAAAGTGTTTTTTTTTCTTTTAAATTTAAATAAATAATTTAGATAAATAAATAAAGAAAATTAATGAATCTTTAATTTAGTAATTTTGAAATTAGATGGAAAGCTTATTAATGAAATTGATATGTATTTATTATTGTATTTAAAGACTATCTAGAATTTAATAAAATGAAAAAACCATAAAATGACATGTGGAATAAAAATTAATTTAAAATAACCACAAAATTATATGTGGCAAAATAAATAAGAATGTGACATGTGACAAAAAAACTTTTTATTTATTAGGGAGGATTTACTTTAAATTTTAATGATCAATTAGCTTTTTTCTTTTATTGTTGACGAGTCTAAATTTAGCTTTTATGTTGTGTTTGTTAACTAAGAAACAAGATTTTAGTTGGATTTCTAGTTTTTTCTATAATAAACTAATTTCTAAGTAATATCGTTTGATAAAAATAACTGATAATTTAATAGAAAATATCAAAATATATAATAAGAGAACTAAGAGTTTCTTGTTACAAGAGGCGGAGCTAGCATACATAAAGATAGGAATTAACATACGACCCATAGGATTGGAGCCGACCGAAAAAAAAAATGGGGACTGGACCCGGACCAAATTAAATGATTTAACCCGGACCGGTTTTCGGGTTTTGTTTTTATCAATAATCGGGTTTCGGGTTTGGACTGAACCGTATCCTAGTTAAAGGATTTAAAACGGACCGGAAAACCAAAAGTTATTTTCTTTATTTTTGATCGACAAATAGTAAGCAAGAATTACCGATATAATATAAATGTTGTCCGATTGAATTGATTCGGTCACTCCTGTGGATCACATTATAGTGTCAATTTTTTCTTTTGGCTTCATTTTCTTGTATTGATCGCATTATGGTGTCGATTTTTTTTTCTTCGAAAACCCAAAAGTTATTTCCTAGTACAATTTTTTTTAATAAAAATAGTGCAACCTTTTTTTTAAATAGTGCAGTTTTTTTTATTTAGGCCCCGTTTGTTTACCTCTTAATTGAAAAATTAAAAGGTAACCTCTTAAAAATTCAGATGTAGCTCGTTTGGTAACCTCTTAAAAAATACATCTGAATTGGATAAAAGGCTCTTAATTTTTCAGACTTGTATCCGTGTCTGAAAAAAAAATGACGGAACTGCCCTAATTCACGTCTTTCTTTTCTTCTCACTAGCACGCCTCCACCTTTTTCTTTCTCATCGATGCACACTCCCAAATCCTCCATCGTCATCTGTTGAAGCTTCGTTCCTCCCTGTCATCTCCATCGTCGGTGTCGTCTCCGTTCCTCCCTACAGTCGTCGTCGTCGTCGGCTCCAACTGCTCTTCCACCCCTGCATCTCCGACGTTCCATCTCGGACGTCAAAGGACCAGCGTCGGCGTCCCTCAGGTCGCCGCACACCTCCGCTATTGAGCATCTCCGTCATACAACACTTCGCACAACTGTAACACACCTAATCTTCTGAAATCGGTATTCTTCTTTATAATCTCATGTTTTCTTTTGATTTTCTTGCTGAAACCGGTGAAATGGCCTTGAAATTGGCTGTAAAACTTGCTGAAATGCTTGTAGTCGGTTCTAAAAATTGTTGAATTTATGGTTATGTTGTTGAAATTATTTATTTGGTTTGAAATATGGTTTGATTTTGATGAAATGTTGCTGATTCTGGTTTGATTTTGATGAAATGTTGTTGATTTTAGTTTGGTTTTGTTTGATTTATCAGCTATGGCTTCTTTCCCATGTTTATTTTACTTGCATATGAACCATTTGATAAAATGTCTGAATGAAATTGTTTCAACTTGTGATTTATTTAAATTTCTTTGTCTTGAATCTTTTTGCAGAAAAGAAACCTTGGATGATAAAAATTGTTTGTATGTAGATTTGTTAATATTCTCTCTTAAATTGTTCAATGTGGATGGTAAAATCTGATGTATCCTTTGTTTGGTTGATATAGGTGATTGATAATGAACAAGATGCTATCAAGATGAGGATGATAATGGATGCAGTTTTCAATGTGATTGTTCTGATGTTTATTGCTGCAATTTTTAAGTTTATTTGGAATGTTGCATTTGTGTGTAGATCTGTTAACATCAATTTCTGTATTGTGATCAATATTAGCATACAGTTTAAAACAAAGCAATTTTGATTGTTATAATTGGATACATTAGCCAAATATTTATGTTTGATTGTTTAATTTTAACTTATGTCTAATTTGGATTTTGTATGGTGTTTTTATAGTTTTGCAAAAAATAATACAGAATGGTAAAATGATCATTTTTATAATTAAGCACAAAAATTCAGAGGTTCTAAACAAACGGCATGTTCACAATTCAGATTTTAAAAATTCAGACCCTCTTAGAAATTCAGATCTCTTAAAAATTCAGATCTTAAAAATTCAGATCTTACCAAACAGCCCCTTAGTGCGGTTTTTTTATTAAAATAATGTTGTTATGTGTAATTTTTTTTATAAAATAGTGCAGTTTTGTTTATAAAAACAATGCAATTTTTTTTTTATAAAAATAGTAATGTTAAGTACAGATTTTTTATATAAAAATAGTA